AAAAATACGTTTATTGACGTTTCAATTTCCACTTCGGAAATCGTTCTCAAAATACAAACAGTAAATTAAATTAATTAAATTTACTGTTTGTATTTTGAGAAGATTTCCGTTCAGTGGAAATTGAAACGTCAATAAACGTATTTTTATCTTTAATTGTGGCTTATTCCCAGTTAAATAGTAATTAAGGTTCTATGGTTGTAAGTCGTTCTATAGAGAAAACTATTAGTGCTATTCCCAATCAAAAACTAGTCCTATGGAGATTTTAACGCCAAACTAGCGTCATCTAACGAAAATATTGAAAGAGTATTGGGAAACAATGGACTGAGGCAGAGAAATATAAGGGGTAACCGTCTAGTAAAGTTCTGTGTAGAGCATCATCTTGCAATTACAAACATGTGTTATAAGCATAATCTACGAAGATTTAACACATAGCATAAGCCCAGCTGGACGAAAAAGAAATCAAATAGATTACATCCTAATAAGATCAAGATGTAAATCCTCAGACATCAACTGTAAAACATACCTAGGCGCAGATTGCGGAAGTTACCATCAACTGAACAAAAAATTGCTATTTAAACTGATCTTCTTCTTCTTCAGGTGCCATCTCCGCTACGGAGGTTGGCAATCATCATAGCTATCTTAATTTTTGAGGCAGTAGCTCTAAATAGTTGTTTTGAGCTGCATCCAAACCATTCTCTCAGGTTCTTCAGCCATGAAATTCGTCTTCTTCCGATGCTTCTTCTGCCATCTATTTTTCCTTGCATTATGAGTCGCAGGATGCCATACTTATCGCCCCGCATCACATGTCCGAGATACTGTAGCTTTCTTTCTTTAATTGTAAGTTCAATTTCCTTCTCTTTGCCTATTCTTCTCAGTATTTCATTGTTTGTAACTCTATCTACCCAGGAAACCCTCATAATTCTTCTATAGGTCCACATTTCAAAGGCGTTAAGTCGTCTCATGGTATCTAGATTTAACGTCCATGATTCCACTCCATAATATAGTACACTGTATACGTAACATTTTGTTAGGCGTACTTTAAGAGCTAATGTTAGATCTTTGCCACATAGGACCTTTTTCATTTTTATAAAATTAGAACGTGCTTTTTCGATTCTGACTTTGATTTCTGCCGTGTAGTCATTATTTTCTGTTATAATTGTTCCTAGGTAAGTGTACTTTTTTACTCTTTCGATCTGCTGGCCTTCTACTATCAAGATTTCGTTAGTATTATAGTTGTTTTTACAAATTTTCATAAACTTCGTCTTTTTGACATTAAGAGAGAGTCCGTACTCCCTACTACACATGACTATTTTGTTCATGAGTCTTTCCAGGTCTTGTAAACTATCAGCTATTATTAGTGTATCATCTGCATATCTGATGTTGTTAATTAAGACTCCATTTACTCTTATGCCGACTGTTTCATCTTCCAGAGTTTCTCGAATTACCTCTTCAGAATAGGCGTTAAATAATAGAGGTGATAGAATGCAGCCTTGCCTGACTCCTCTCTTTATTTCCATTTCTTCAGATGTTTCTTTTTCGATTCTTACTATTGCTCGCTGATTGTAATAGAGGTGTGTTATTAGCCTTAAATCTCTTTCATCTAGGTTTTTATTTTTTAGAATTTCCAGGAGTCGATCATGTTTTACTTTATCAAACGCTTTATTGTAGTCTATAAAACAGACGTAAAGAGGGCGGTTAACATCCAAACATCTCTGTGTCAGCACATTGAAGGAGAATAATGCCTCTCTGGTACCCATACCATTGCGGAACCCATATTGAGTGTCACTAATATCCAGCTCCAGTTTAGAGATTTAAACTGATAGGTGGCTATATTTGCAATAAAGAATCAATTTATCAAATTAAAACTGATATGGAGAAGTATCTATACACCATGAGTATGATGGATCATCCGTGACAAAGAAAATGTAAACTGGTTGAAGAAATACATCGGTCATCCAAAAATTTAATTCCCAGTAAGGAAGCTTAAAGTTATACTGGAAGGAGAAGTACAGGGCAAAAGATCAGTAGGAAGACGCCAGAACTCATGGCTGAAAGACCTAAAGAGATGGTTCGCTCATCCGCAGAAATCTTTCTGGTAGCAGTTTCGTTATACAGAGTGGCCCAAAAGTCTATAAACGGCTAACTATCTCGTAAATTACTAGACATAATTATACAAAATTTGAGATACGCCTATCTTGGGATACGGAGATCTCATAGATCAAAGATTCCATATTTGGTATTTGCAGTGTTACCAGATTTTCAGTTTCTCTTATATTATGTCTCTCTTATATGTAATACTTATGATTTTATGTCGTCTGGAAGGTCTTAAATACATAAAACATAAGTCTGGCAACGCCTAAATTGTTTCAATACATTTTTTAATACTAACTATTTTCAAATACATTAAAACGTAACAATTGATAGTTTAGAATATTTCTTAACATAATAGTTACGTTATTAAGTATTCAAAATGTGCTCCATATATGAGTTGACAGCATTTTAATCGATGGTAGAATGCGTCTACCACATTTCTCCATGATTGTCTAGAAATTATTCGAGATTCATCGATAATTCATTGCCTTAGCTATGCAAGACTTGCTGGTTAAGTTTTGTAAACTGAATTTTTCAAATATCTCTAATAAAAATAATCTTTAGGATTAAGATCGGGTGAACGTGGAGGCCATTCAATTCTACCTTGTCTACCAATTTATTGTCCGGGAAATATCTCATCTAAATAACGCCGAACATCTGACGTTAAATTTCTTTCGATAAAAAATGGCCCAAATAAGTACCTACTATAACTGACCATACATTTAATTTTTGTGGTCTTTGAGTATGGTTTTCACGCATTCAGTGTGAATTTCACACGAGTTCAACCATATGTTCACTTGATTTTATGTAGTCTGAAAGATCTTAAATACATAAAAGAGTGCAAAATTTGTAGATTTTAATCAATTTAAATATTTAAATGGAGAATGCTGTGATTTTGACATTTGTTCACCATTTAAATTATGAACTAAAATTGACAGTAGTTGTGGTTCAAAAAGTTCTGCAATTTAAATTTAAATTTCTTCTCTAAAATGCCGTTCTCTAAACCGTTCTCCTAATCATAAGACGACGGTACAAAAAACTGTAAGGCGATTTGAGGTATCTGGAGAAGTAAAAGATAGATACCGATCAGGTTGACCGAAACGAGTTATCAATGACAACAAAACTTCAGATATAAGTTTTGTTGAAGATCCACATACATCCTCAGGCAGGGTTGCACAAGTACATGATGTAGGTTATTCTTCAGTCTTACGTTTATTACGTAAAAATAAATTTAAATCATACAAAATTAACTTATTGCAAGAATTAAGTGAAGATAACGTTGGTCGTAGATTAGAGTTTACTGAGGTAATGATGGATAAAATTGAAAATTATTAAAATTTCGTTAACAGAATATGTTTTTCCGATGAAGCAACTTTTACACTGTGTGGAAGTGTAAATCGACACAATTTAAGGTACTGGTGTGATGTAAATTCACACTGAAGACTGAATGCGTGAAAACCATACTCAAAGACCACAAAAATTAAATGTATGGTCAGATATAGTAGTTACTACTTATTCAATTGGGTCATTTTTTGTCGAAAGAAATTTAACGTCAGATAGTTGGTGTAAATGTTCGGCGATATTTAGATGAGATATTTCCTGGACGATAAAATGGCCTCCACGTTCACCCGATTTCAATCCTAAAAATTATTTTTATTACGGATACTTGAAAAATTCAGTTTACAAAACTTAGCCAGCAAGTCTTGCAGAGCTAAGGCAACGAATTATCAATGAATCTCGAATAATTTCTAGACAATCACGGAAAAATGTGGTAGACGCCTTCTACCATCGATTAGGATGCTGTCAACTCACAAATTGAGCACATTTTGAACACTTAATAACGTAACTACTATGTTAAAAAATGTTGGAAACTATCAATTGTTACCTTTTAATGTATTTGAAAATAGTATTAAAAAATTTACTGAAACAATTTAGGCGTTGCCAGACTTCGGTTTTATGTATTTATGACCTTCCAGGTTACATAAAATCATAAGTGTTACATATGGTTGAACTCGTATTGAATAGGAGATTCCAATAATGACTGAATATACAGGGTGATGTATTTTAAAAACCAAAGTTACTAATATAAGAAAAGCGGCAAATCTGGCAACATTGTAAACATCAAATATGGAATCTTCGTATCCCAAAATAGGTGTACCTCAAATTTTGTACAATTATGATTACCATTTTACGAGATAATTAGCCGTTTCAAGCATTTTGGACCACTCTGTATAATAAATTATATAAATACGTTAGTGTTCGTTACTTTCCTCTCTCTATGTGATTCTTTTGCTGCGTTAATTGTTATTTTTGAGTTTTTCGCAGCTTTCCCCGACGTTCCCAGCCGGAGACAGAATTATTCTGTCTCCGCCTTCTATACACAATGTAGCTTCGCCTATTTTAAAATTTTTTAAAGTGTTTGTCCTTGTGTAGTGTAGTGTAATGTACCATTTTATGTTTATGACATTTTATTCTTGTCGAATAGGCAGCAATTGACGAAATGCCCCTGAAGATGATTTAGGGACCGAAAGTACTTGGGCAAGATTAAATTAATTAAAGTGTGCTCGATATTTGCCTTTTATATTATCAAAGTTCATTTATTCGAGCATTCAACCGTATATCAATTAATTTAATATTGCAGTTCGTTTATTGTAAAATTATTCTCTGATTAAATTAAATTACTTTTTATTTTGTCTACATAAGCTTTAGTAAGTTTAGTATGATACTGCTGAATACATTATTAAAAGTCTTTTCAAATGAGGTACTACAAGACTCACATTTTAATTTAAAAATTTAAGATTACGTCATAGTGTCAAAATTGATAAATTGGTAAAATTGGTAAAAAAAAATGGTAAAAAATATAAAAAATGGGTTGTAAAAAAAATAAAATTAAGAAATAAATAACTCACCTTAAAAGCGGTTCTAAACTTCTTTGACATGATATGGTAGAGAACTGGATTTACTGTGGTAGATATAAAGTAAAGCAGACCGGAGACATACATCAAATACAAGTAAAAATCAGAGAACATTTCTTGAGTTTCAATAGAAGCTGTAGATAAGTAAACTGCCAGCAGCCGTTGAGCGTGGAATGGAGCCCAGCAAATGAAAAAAGCAGCTACAACAGCAACTGAAAAAAAAGAAATAAGAATCCATTACTGTGCCTCAAAATTTCTACATTTAAATAACAATATTATTTTTTTTCCAAATTACTGGGTATCGAAGGGTAAAATAAAATACAATCTAATTTGAATTTAAAAGGTTTTATATCGTTAAAAAATTTGATGGATCAAAAGAAGTCACAAGACGTAGTAGATTATGTGTAGTATAGAGTATTAACAAACAATTTAGCAAATAATAAATTAATGTAACAGTGGGAATGGTTTTAAACTGGATGGAACTAAATGGAACAAAATTAACCGGCCACCTTAAAAATGGATAATTTTTGATTTCTTATATCTTCTAAACCTGTTGCCCGATTTAAGTAATTTTTTTAATATGTTATAGCCTTATTCCTTGACAATACCTTTATAATAATATTGTTGCCAAACAGGTAAATTTTCATTGTTTACCGGGTGTAGAATCAAGCTGTTTTTTTCTTAAAGTTTGCATCACCCTGTGGAATATTCTAGCATATGTAGAATACTGAAATTAAATCGTAACTATAGCCTCATGCTTTTTCAACATTTTGTTTTTTGATTGATTCGCTTATGATGGATAATACAAAAGTTAGGTACTTTAACAACTAGACATGTTTTTTTTTATCTCTGCGGAAGGAAAAAATAATCTTTATAAAAAAATCATTTGTTACAATAAAAATCCAATGAATAAAATATTCGAGGAAAATTCAAATTAACAATATTTTGGAAGTCAAAGTCTAATTTAAAAAAAATGGGTATCAATAGCTTGGACTTCTTGGAGCCGGTTTGGCAACCCATTCATGATATCCTGGATATCAGATTGGGGAATATTGTACCACTCCTCACTGCAGCTGTCTTCAGCTCTTCCAAAGGATGCAGGGGCTGGTATTCTTGCTCTTACCCGTCTTTTGAGGTTGTCCCAGATATGCTCAATTGGGTTAAGATCGGGACTGTGTGCTGGCCATGGTAGAACTTGATCCCGACCTCATTAAGGTATTCACGGGTAGATCTTGCTGTGTGTCAATTACAAAATTACAGCCCTAATAAACTGTGTTGTTTGTTTATATCGACAGTCACTAATATCCAATATATATATACACTTGTAACTTGTCTGCTTGCTGGGTATCCTCTAAAATGGACGTCCTGTTTCTGAAATGTCATAGCAGCCATTTTGAAAATGGTAGAACTGTCACTTGTTGACGTTTGTATTTAGTATACTCTAATAAATTATGCTTTTTAATTTATATGTTGAAAATATATTTGCGGAAGCATTAGAAGACACGGAATTAGGCATTAAGGTGAACGGCATACCAATTAGCAACCTACGCTATGCGGACGACACAGTGATTATAACTGATAATTTGGAAGATCAGCAGTTATTACTTGATAGGGTGAATAGCATAGGTAAAAAATATGGCCTCAAAATCAACATTTTGAAAACGAAATATATGGTCATTAGCAGAAACCCTCTAGAAAACCCGATAATATGCATAGGTGACGATCGTATAAAACCCGTGAAAACTTTTAAATACCTTGGCACCACAATCAATGACCAATCGGATCCACAACACGAGATAAAAACCCGAATACAAATGGCAAGACAAGCTTTTGTGAAATTCAGATCGCTCCTATGTAATCAAAACCTAAATTTCGAAATACGCTACAAAATGGTCAAGTGCTACATATGGTCCATCTTGCTTTATGGCATGGAAACGTGGACTTTGAAAAATCATCTATCAACAAACTTGAAGTATTTGAAATGTGGTCAGTGAGAAGAATGATGCGCATACCTTGGGTGGATAGAGTCCGAAACGATGACGTCCTTAAGAGAGTCGGCGTGGAAAGAGAACTCTTTGAATTAATTAAAAAACGCAAGATTGGTTACCTTGGGCACATATTGAGAGGAGCAAAATATGAAATACCACAGTTAATCCTACAAAGGAAAATCGAAGGTAGAAGAGGAGCCGACCGTAAACAATTATCTAGGTTAAGGAATATTAAAGAATGGACAGGAATACACAATACAGGCGAGCTGTGTCACGCCGCCAAGAACAGAATTCTAGTAATGAGATAGTCGCCTACGCACTTTGGTGTATGGCATGTTAAGAAGAAGAATAAATTACCATGGCAAGATATACGCTTCAACAACGTTTGGAAATTATCCTAAAATGTTATGCTAATAATCTAATGAAAGTTATGGATCAAATCATGATCCTGATATGCGTGTAATTTGTCGAATCGTGGAAAAGTTTGAATGTTAATTTACTCTGCACGATACGAGACCACCAACTAGATGCCGAAATGCAATAACTCAGGACAATTTTGCTGCTGTAAGAGCCAGTCTAGCGAAGAATGCAAATGTGTCCCTAAATCGTCGTTCTCAAGAACTTGGACTCACCAGAATGACAACTTGACTAATTCTGATAAAAGATTTAGGGCTACACCCGTACAAGATTGTTCTGACTCAAGAACTACTAGAGCTACTTGGCTATCATAAGCGTCGTTTATTCGCTGATTGGGCTCTAGACAAACTCGAAATTGATGGCGATTTTTTCAAAAAAATAATCTCTTCATATGAAGCTCATTTTTGATTAAACGGCTTTGTGAATAAGCAAAATTGTCGTTTTTGGAGTGAAAATAATCCACATGAGGTTCGTGAGAAGCCATTGCATTCAGAAAAAGTCACTGTCTGATGTAACAGTCAACGGTGAAAGGTATCGAACGATGATAGCGGATTTTTTGTGGCCTCAGTTAAATGAAATGTATTTACATGTCATATTTTTCAACAGGACGGAGCCACATGTCACACTAATGCCCCAACCATTGGTTTATTGAAGAAATAGTTCCCGGAAATATTGATTTCTCTTGATGCCAGAGATCCCAGGAGAATTCAGCAACTTCGACCAAATGCTTGGCCTCCAAGAAGCTGCGATTTAACACAGTTGGATTATATTAAGTCATTGGTCTATGTGTACAAACCACAATCTATATGAAGACTTGAAGAGGAACATAGAGCACATCATTCGTGAGATTAATACGGATATTTTCCATAAAGTGACCGAAAATTGGGTTCATCGGATTCTCTCATGCAAACGTTGTCGCGGTGGACATTTGAATGATGTGTTATTCAGAACATACGTAATTGTTATCTATTATATTTTACAACAATTTTTTTTTGATTTAAAGCAATTTTTCGTTAAAAAAAACACATCTGGACATTCTTATTGGGAGACCTCTTAGTAACTAAATCAGTCATCCAACTAAATCGGCTAAAAAATTAGAAACAAATCTTTCTCAAAAGTTATACCTAAATGGTCTAGAACTTAATTAAAAATGCAACAAATTATCTATCAATGATTTCGATTTTGCAATAACTCTAATTTTATATAATTATGTTAATCATAATTTCAAATCAGCTATTTTTTCCTATAAAGCTTATCAACAAATATTCTTTATTTTATAATGACTTCTAATTATTGGTTCAACATAAATACTGTTTATATTTAACCAATAAATAATGATTCTAATAATGTTTATTAACAGTTATTATTTCTTACACCACATTTTAATGGTTTGGAATGATAAATATATGCAAAAAATTTTAATAATTTAAAATTTTGTCAAAATACCTGTTCTTGCCCAAGGAAACAGATCACCTTCGGTTCGCTTGTGTTTCGTTATTCTGACAGTATAATATTATTTAAAATATTCCGGTTTAAAGGACAATGATCTGAAGTGACAAAATAATTACAATTTTAACTGAATGTTGATATGTATATCATATATGTTAAACGCAAAAACTGTATATTAATTATGTAACAGAAACATTCACAAAGAATAGACAGTTTACAACGGGACTACCATTATCATTGTATGAAATGTAACAAAGTCCAAAACGCATTCACCATTATTTAGATTGGAAATACTCTTGTAAGCATTGATTTAAATATTTTTAAAAATCTGAAATAATAAAAAATGTACTTCGAGAGAAGTAGGGATTTTTTTAGTAAAAATATACTCTGCTAGCAGATTCAGAATGCATCTGAATAGCTCACTGAGTTGTTCATAGAACTTATTTTTTATTTAATATTCAATGTGTTGAATTGTACAAGGTATAGACAGTATAAAATTTATATTTCAAATATCTAGAAAAAGCTAAGTAAAGCTGTCCGTGACCAAACACAGGTTTGATAGGAGTAGATTTTGTGTATAGGTAACGCTGGGGTTTCTTTACGGACAGATAGACAGACAGAATAAGGAAATATATATATACAGTAAAACCTCCGTTAACTGAAATAATTGGATGAGAGGACGTTTCGGCTAATAAGAATTTTTGTTAAAAATAACATTGTTTTTTATAGTATACTTGGTCAAAGTAGTGGTATTAAAAAATACTATGAGGTGATTTCGTAATGTTTTCTAATAAGTAAATACAGAATAAAATAATAAAATAAAGGAAAATGAACAAGTTTAACACGCTTTTTTAAAGAAATCTTCTATTTTCTTTTGCGTTTTCGTTTGATAACGATGTTTTGCAGCTATATATCTCCATCATTCATTTGCACAACGCCACGAGTTTGCCTTATTTGATTGCTCGACGAAACGTAAAGCAATCTGAAAAGGACAAAACTTTATGCAATGACAACAAAAATTAAGAACCTAGTCGTGTCCCTAACTAATTAGGACTACTGTATAAAATTCTTATCTCTAAGGCATTGAAAATTCCGTCGGCGGTCTCGTGCTACCTGTTTTCTGGCAGTTGGGTCGTTTTCTTCGTCTTCTGATACGCTCAGGTTGTCTGGATGAAGAACGATATCAATGGTGTCCTTCCTGGTCGATGAATTCACTTTCTGAGTCATCGGCTGCTAACCACTCACGTATATCTTCTTGGTTAAATCAAAAACCCATCAAAAAGTTTATTCCAGCATTTTTCCAAAGTTAAAGATTTGATCTTGGCCCAAGACTCAGCACACCAATAAACAACATGTTT